GGCCCCCGCACTCCAGTCTGGGTGACAGAGTGAGACTCCAACTCAAAAAAAAAAAAAAGATAAGAGGGTGGAAAACTCCAGGTTTGTTGATATGTAGATGAGTCCTATATGTGGCAGACTTCATGGAGGATAGGTAAGTGAACAGGGTTCCCAGAGTCTGAAAGTTCCCAAGCAATGGCTTGCAGGGCCATAAAATACCTTGATTTCCTTCTTTGTTACATGGTGTTGTGCCAGAGTCGGATTGGAAAACAAACTTTTGAATATAGGGTAATAGGTTCATAAGACCCTATATGGTGAGTCCTTATCAGGCAGTGAGTGACTCCTCAGGCCCCTTAGTTAGGATTTTTTTTTTTTTTTTGAGTCAGAGTTTCATTTTGTTGCCCAGGCTAGAGTGCAGTAGCATGCTCACAGCCATTGCAGCCTTTACCTGCTGGGCTCAAGTGATCCTTCTGCCTCAGCCTTCCAAGTAGCTGGGAGTACAAGTGCACACACCATGCCTGGCTTTTTATTTATTGTAGAGACGAGGTCTTACCATGTTGCCCAGGCTGGTCTTGAGCTCCTGAACTCAGGCAATTCTTTCGCCTCTGCCTCCCAAAGTGCTGGGATTACAAGCATGAGCAACCACACCCGGCCAGAAATTTGGATAAGAGGAAACAAAGATGAGGTTTAGTCCTCACAGGGCAGCTGGGCAAGTGTCTGGGAATGAGGACAATGGTAGGGCTGGTCACAGGGTCCCTCCTTAACCTTCCTAGTAGTGCCCATAACAGCCACTGTTTACAGAGCATGATAGGCCAAGTACTCTGTATGCAGGGAGCTATTTACTCCTAAAAACAGAGCTCTGAGATCAGAATGTTTTTATCCTTATTTAAAGATGGGCTCTATTAGTCAGGATTTCTGTTTGCAAATGACAGAAACCCACTCAAACTAGCTAACCCTAAAAGGAAATTCATCACCTCATGTAAAATAATGAAAAATAATGCCGGCCACAGGCATGGCTGGATCTAGGACCAATCTGTGGTTGTCAGGAATCTTCCCCCATCTCTGGTCTGGGTGTTCTTCTGTGCTGGCATCACTCTCAGGCAGCTTCTCCATTTGTGACATGTTGGCCCCAGCAGCTGCAGGCTGGAGCTCTGTCTTCTCAGCAACCTTGTTGGAGTGACCACACTTGTTTGCCCAGAAGTTCCAATATAAGTCTCAGAGCTGGGTTTCATTGGCTCTGATTAGGTCAGATATCTATCATTGAGCCAATCACAGTAACCAAGGGGAGGGAATATGCAGATTAGGCAGGCCTGAGCCAAGTCCCATCCTTAGAACCAGGGATGTAGGTATACCACCTAGACCATGGGGACTGAGGTTGGGGAAGGAAAGTCTCCCAAGAAAAAGCAGAAGTAGGAAGGAAGAGTGGATACCATATCTACTCCTTGGGGAACCCAGGGCTCTAAGAGTTTAATTGATGTGCCTCACCAGGCAGGGATGGAGCCAGGGCTCAAATCCAGGCTTTCTAACTCCCTGCCAGGTTGACTTCTTTACTTGACCCTAGGGTGTTGAGTGAGAGGCCAAGGTGAATTCCCTGTTGCCTCTGGGCATTTGAGGAAGCACTGCTCAAACCTCTGCCCTGCTTAAATTCACAGCTCAGTTTTCTCACAATTTGAGCATCTACTAGGTACAAAGCAAGGTCTCCTGGGTGCCTCAGACAACCAGCAAAATTTATTGAGCACCTGCTGTTTGCTGGGGCATAGATTAAGCACACTTAAGGTGAACACAAGAAACCACAGTCTCTACCTTGGGGGACTTTGACTTTCTCAACAATTTACTACACTCGGGCCTGGTCTCCTTTCTCTTCCTTCCTAAGCTTGTTCCTGCCTCAGGACCTTTCCCCCAGCTGTGTCCTGGCCTGTATCGCTTGTCTCCACAATGCCTGCATGACTGACTCCTTCTCATAATTCCAGTCTCATCTTTTGTGTCACCTCCTCAGCCACCCCAGACCACTCTAAATGAAGTAGCCCCTCCACCCTAGTTTCCTCTGCCACATCATTCTGGTTTGTTCTCTTTTCTCTGGAGTAGTTAGTGCTATCTGAAAAAGCATTGTTCACTTAGTTAATATTTAAGGTCCTCCTCCCCCCACCCCAGGGCAGAGATTTTTATCTGTTATATTCACCACTGTTTCCTAGCGCCTAGGTGTTCACTAAATAATAATGTGGTTGAATTAAGGGAGGGAGAAGGAGGTAGTTGTTAGAGAAGGATATGGCTGTCCATTCATAGCTGTGCCTATGCCCCTTACCCAGAAGCCCTCAGGTGGCCCTGCTGCCAGTTTTCTACTACGGATGGAGCCAGCATCTGGGGGGAAAACCCTCTGAGAACCACCATTTCCTGCGTTTCCCTCAGGCTGGTTCTCAGAACTGAGGCCATGTTTGGAGAAATTCTCTGTTGTTAGCTCAGGGCCCCTCCTGCCTCTGCAGCTGTTGTCTTCCTGCCTGGTGACTCACCCTCCCTGGATGGCTGTTTCCTTGGAAAGCCCAGACCCGGCTCCTCCCATGTTGTGGGTGGCATTGAAAGGGAGGGGTGCTGGGGTTGAGTCCTGCATAGCAGGTAGGAGAGCCAAGTTGGAGTCATGGGTCTTCCTACCAACTTTATATAGGCACTATAGATTTTCTTCTGTGTACAAAATTAAACATATACTTTGTAAAAAAAAAAAATTCAGTAAAAAACGTTGTAGTTCCCCAGAATGGCCCATTGCAGAGAGAGAACCCACTGTTTACAAATTTGCATATATTACTCTAGACTTGTGTCTACTGATAATAACATGAGAAAATTATTATTGCCTGGCTCATTCTTGCATCAACAGATTTAATCCATAAGCTGAGTGTGAGATTCCCATTCAATAGATGAGGAAACTGAGGCACGGAGAGGTGAAATAACTTACCCAAATTCACAATATTAGTGTAAGGGAAACACTAAGTTGCTTAGCAAAAAGACCCACAAATAGGCACTGGCACAGAATGGTTTCTTTCTCACTCGTGTAAAGGTCTCATGTTGGTGGACAACTCAGGATAAACTGGTGCCTGTCCTTGAAGCCATCCAGAGGCCTGGTTCTTTCTGATTTGATGCTCTGCCATACCCCCAGGTTTGCCGTGGACCATGTGGTCAGCTCTGGCTCCCAGGCAGAGTCCACCTTACAGGGTAGTCTAGAGTGATGTCATTACAGTGCTCCCTTCCCATTTCCAGGGATGGTCACATGACCATATCTAGCTGCAAGGGAAGCTCAGCAATATCATCCCTAGGTAATGATGCTACATTCTATTAAAACTGAGTGATGGGGGGTTTTATTCTAAAAGGAAAGGAGAGCATGGATTCTGGGGCCCATCAGCAGTTCCTGCCACTGGGAGCTAGTAAGTAATGAAGCCAGGATCTGAGCCCAGGCAGACAGGTTCCTCTCAACCCTTTTCCTGCTGCTTTTCAGAGGAGGTGCTGCCTGGGCCTTGTCCTTCTGCCTGACCCCACCCCCCCTTCTATCAGGTGGACATCATGCAGATGTGTATCATTGAGCTGAAGGACAGACCAGACAAGCCCCTCTTTCACCTGGAGCACTACATCGAGGGCAAGTACATCAAGTATAACTCCAACTCGGGCTTTGTACGTGACGACAACATCCGCCTGACTCCCCAGGTGAGGCCCCGGGGTTGCTCTAGCCACACCTTCACCCTCTGCTGAGGTAGGAGCCTGGCCAGGCTCAGCCCCTAGAGAGAAGGGTCCCTGAGGGTATGGGTTCCCACATGCCCAGAAGACCCTTGAGCCCCTTGGAGCATTCTGTAGGAGATTCTGTATTGGGACATACGTCACCTCATGCCAGTTTCTATCAGCCCACCTAAGATGGCCACAGGACTTTGCCAAATTGAACACACCTCCTCCCTTTATCATTTCCTCTATACAACTGCTCCTTGTGGAGACACCCTCCCGACATGGGTGGAACTGGGGCATTTTAACCTCCCAGCTCAGAGGCTGGCCAGTGTCTACACAGCTCACACCCAAGTTTCTTGCAACCTCCTTTTTCTTCCTGTTCCCCATAGGCCTTCAGCCACTTCACGTTTGAGCGTTCCGGCCATCAACTGATAGTGGTGGACATCCAGGGTGTGGGTGATCTCTACACTGACCCACAGATCCACACTGAGATGGGCACTGACTTCGGAGATGGCAACTTAGGTAGGTGGGGAAAGCTGGCCAGTTTCCACGGAGACCACGCTCCCCCTAAAATCTCCAAGCTCTTTGTACACTCAAGGAAGCAGGCTGAGGCAAGATCATGGAGATGGGAGCCTGGGCTGTCTGACCCCAGCCCCAGCTCAGCATGTTTTATACTTGCCCCGGCCATATTTATGGGGCCTGGCACTGCCCCCACCTCGTCACAAAAACAAAGCAACACTCCAGACACCCCCTCTCTGTCTGCAGGTGTCCGGGGAATGGCTCTCTTTTTCCACTCTCACGCCTGCAACCGGATTTGTGAGAGCATGGGCCTCGCTCCTTTCGACCTCTCGCCACGGGAGAGGGACGCGGTGAATCAGAACACCAAGCTGCTGGTGGGTGCCCAGTGTGAACCCGCTAGACCCTGAGCCCTGCTTCCCTGTGTGGTGATTGCCAAGTCCAGCAATGCTTACTTGAGGAATACCAGGCCTGGAATGATCCATCTCTCCCAACTTAGGGCACAAAGCCCTCCTGAGTGTCCCCATAATAGCGTAGCTGTTGCCTGCTTGAATTGGACCCCATTTTTGACCAGAGTGAGGGGAACAGATGTGCAGAAATGATTAGAAGGTGTATGGTGTGTGTGTTTGTGTGGTGTATTGACAAATGACTGGACTGCACTTAGACATGGCTCTCTGGGCACCTCACTGAGATGAGTGCCCCTCTCACACTCCCTTTTACTACAAGGACCAGATACAAGAGAATGTTGGCAGAGACCAGCTTGGGATTCTGGACAAAGAGTGAGATACTTGCCCCAGCTTAGGCCTATAAAAGTGTGGGTAGCATTTTAGGAGATGCTGGCTGGCAGATCCTCTGAACTCCCATTCTGGAGACCTTAGGGTTAATCCCCTACTGATTTTTTTTAACTTTTCTATCAGTCCTTACGCAGGCATGTATAGGTGCCATGACTGAAAAGGCTTCAGGGTTTGAGAGAACAACAGGAAGAGCCCTTTATTCCCCTTAGGATGCCTGTGTGACATGAGTTTCCCTGTGAATATCCCCAGCAATCAGCCAAGACCATCTTGAGAGGGACAGAGGAAAAGTGTGGGAGCCCTCGAGTAAGGACCCTCTCCGGGAGCCGGCCCCCACTGCTCCGTCGCCTTTCTGAGAACTCTGGAGATGACATGAGCGATATGACCTTTGACTCTCTCCCTTCCTCTCCGTCTTCAGCCACACCACACAGCCAGAAACTGGACCACCTCCGTGAGTGATGGTTTGGTCCCTGGTCATTGTCATTGGAAAAGACAGGCAGCAGGTAGAGCAGAGCTAAACTGGCTTTTGTGTACGTTAGAAAATTCAGATATGCTAACTAAAAAGGTTCATGGCCCAGATGGTTTTAAAGGTGGGTTATTTGAATGAACTTTCAAGACACAGGTTATTCAAATGCTATAAAATCAACCCCTATTTTTGAGGAAAACAAGGTAATCCTATTGTAGAAAAAACAACCCCATTGTAGAAAACAAAGTGTGTTTTATAAAACTAGAAAAACTCTTGTATAAAATTTAATAAGATTTGACGAAACACCAGAAAAGAAAACTGTATTTTAACCTCACACATATATACTTACATATATATATATGTATACACACAACACAAAGATTCTAAATAAGGCATTAATGAAAACTAACAATATCTTAAAAGAATAGTCTGTCATAGTCAAATAGGGTTTTCACAAGAATACAAGGGTTGTTTAGCGTTAGAAAAGCTACGAATATGATATTAACAGGTCAGAGAAGAAAAATGGAATCATTATTTCTGAAGTTGAAGTGATGGAGTTTGCTGATTATGTGAATGAGATCCTGCATGAAAGAGAGGAGGCAAGACTGACTCCAGGGTTTAGTCCTGAAGAACTGGAAGGATGGTGTTTCCATTTATTCAGAGAAAGTCTGAGGGGGAACCTGCTCAGAGAAGGAGAGGAAAATTTTTAATACCAAGCACTAAAGAAGCACTTTAGGTGTCTCCACTGGAAGGCCTTTGGAATAGTCTAGGGCAAGAATCAACGGACACATAATGTGTCACATAACGTGTGATAAGCACATTACAAGGGTAACTGCATTGTGACCTGAGGATGCACAGGGGTGACACTGCATGTTCAGAATCATGTAGCTGGCAAATGGTAGGCTGTGCCCTTCTTTAAAACTTAAAAAAAAAAAAAGGTTTGGTGGCAGGTGTGGTCTGCTCTAAGTCGTAAGTTGGTCTTGTGTGTGTTCCAGCAGTGGAACTGGCACACTATGTCTGCTTCTCCCTTCCCAGATTGGCCAGTGTTTGGTGACCTTGATAACATGGCGTCCAGAGACCATGACCATCTGGACAACCACCGGGTGAGTATGGGAGGAGGGAGGCTGGCTGTAGGCTCCAGCCCTCTGCAGGGGTGGAAGGAGTGGACTCACTCCTGGGGTTAATCGTCAGCATCAGAGGTGGGAATCTCAGCCCAGGCACCACTAGGAAGGCATGGGGTGGGGATGCAGATGAATCTCAGCCTCTCGCCCAAGGCCTAGTTTTCCTCTGGGAAGAGGTATTTCCATTGAGGTTCCCAGAGATGGTTAGAGAGAAAGAGACTCCAAATCAGCAGCAATGTGACCTTCTAGCAGATGCCAGACTCAGCTCAGATTTATATAGACAGTTGTCTGGATACTGGCACACAACTGAAGTTTTAGAGAGTCTAAGTTATACCATATTCCCTCTCAGAACAGAACTCAGATCTCAGAGAATAAAAATAATATGCCCAAGTGATCTATGCCCAACTAAGTTCAGGGCTTAGTTGTAGCAAATATTCCCAAAGCTGTATTTTTTGTCCATGAGTCAAAGCCCTTAAACCAGCCTTTAAGCTGCTTGTGAAATGGGTATGTCACTCTTAATGAACCACTTGCTGTGATCCACAATCTCAGAATGTAACACCTCATTCCATCCTCACAGTACTTTGATGCAGGTGCCATAATGATAGGTCCCATAGCTAAGGACATTGAAGCTCAGAGAGGTTAGGCAACTCTCCAAGGTCACAGCTGGTGAATAGCAGAGCCAGAATCCAAGTGCAGGCAGGGTGGTTTCAGAGACCAAGGTCTTCACCATTACTTTATATCACTCCCTTGAGTGACATTACTTTATGTCACTCAACCATCAAGGGGCAACAGGAAGAGGATGGCAGATGAGGTGATGGGACAAAGAGAAAACCAGTGGTTGGGATGCCCAAATGTCGCCACCACCACCTAGTACTCAGAGCACCACTGAGACCCTAAGGCCATCTTCTCTCCACAGGACTCTGAGAACAGTGGGGACAGCGGATACCCCAGTGAGAAGCGGGGTGAGCTGGATGACCCTGAACCCCGAGAACACGTAAGGAGCCCCCAGAAAATGAGACTGGAGTCTCCTGTTGCCTCATTTATCCTCCAGGAGGATAAAAACTCCCTCTCTTGGAGGGAGAATATGAGTGGGTCCTGAGAGGATAACCAGTAAATGCATAAACAAGATTATTTTAGATAAAGGGGAGAAGATGAAATACAGGATCATGTGGACCAATAAGGGGCAAAGTGAAGGCTTAGATATGAGATTGAAAATGACCAACAAATCTTATGGGGAAACCAGAATCTTTGGTTTCTGAGCAGAAATAGGCTCAACCAACTCATAGGCACAGGATCCTGGCAGTACCTGGGGAGCGTGGAGGTTGGTTTCCTCAGGCACCTCACAAGCAGCATCTGGGTGAGGGCAACCTCAGGCAGTGTCAGCCATTTAGAAGTCATACCAGATGCTAAAACCAAAGCCAATATTGTTGGAAGACCACTGGTCTCAGCTTTATGACTGTGAATAAAAACCAGCCTGTTATCCCAATGGCTCGAGGCAGGAGGATCACTTGAGCCTAGGAGTTCAAGGCTGCAGTGCAGTGAGGCATGGTCGCACCACTGCAATCTAACTGGGTGGCAGAGTGAGACCCCGACTCAAACAAAACATGCATTAGGAGCTTTAGCTAGAGAAAGGACTCAGTATCATTCCCCCAGTGGCTTTGTGCTGTCACCCTGTGGCTTTGAGTCAGTCCCATCTGCTCACACAGGGAGAGGGGTTGCACCAGCACGTTATTCCTGCCTGTGACCCAGGATCCTTTTCTGCTTGGCAGACAAGGGTTCTCCAGCTTTACCTGAGAGGGCGGGGCCATTTCCCCAGGAGGAGGATCACCTAGGAGGGCTGGGCTGGTTCCTGGGCGGAGAGGAAGACTTGCTCTTTGGATCACTGTATTCTCTGCCTCCATTCAGGGCCACTCAAATGGTAATCGGAGGTACGAGTCTGATGAAGACAGCCTGGGCAGCTCTGGACGGGTAATGCTCCCCACGGCACCCTTGTCATGGCTGCTTGCCTGCCTTCTCCAGGCCCTGTTGCTGTTTCTCCTCCCTCATGTCACTCCTGCCTGCTCATCTGCCTCATACACATCTTAAAGGAAAATTTTGCAAAGAAACAAATCACTTTTTTATGGTCCAGTCTCAGAAACCAGCTGCTATCCTTCGCATAATCAAAGTCGAGAGGCAGAAGCTGAGAGAAAAGAGAGTGTTTAATTTTTTTTTTTTTGAGTCGGAGTCTCACTCTGTCACCCAGACTGGAGTGCAGTGGCAGCGGTCTTCCATCTGGAGCACCCTAGCTACTTGGGAGGCTGACCTGCTGGGCTCAGGCAATCCTTCCGCCTCAGCCTTCCAAGTTGCTGGAACTACAGGCATGTGCCCCCATGCCCGGCTAATTTTTTTATTTATTGTAGAGACAAGGTCTCACTGTGCTGCTCAGGCTGGTCTTGAACCCCTGAGCTCAGGCAATCCTCTCTCCTCTGCCTCCCAAAGTGCTGGGATTACAGGCTTGAGCGACCATGCCTAGCGTGGGAGTATTTAATTTTTATAACCAGGTTATAGGGAGATAGGTTGGCATTATTACCAAAAAAACCTGCTCAAAGCAGCACAAATTTATTCCACTATTTATACCCAAAATTCATAGCCCTTCATCCACCCCCAGTTTGAAACCTAAATGCAGTTTTAGCATGACTCAAGATTTACATGAACAGTTTTTGATACATGACCACAGATGTGACACAAAGTCTCCTGGTCATGCTGACATTTTAGATGACGCTTTGGAATTTACATTTTTATAAACAATTTTTCAGAGGAAGGGTCAGACAATTGCAGCATTTGGAAAGAAGGGAAAGTCGCAACATTTAAAATGATAGCTTTAAATCATTTTAAACATTATTGTTACAATCGCCTACTCCCAGAGCCATGGCCTATAACAGTACAATGTCCTCGCATTCACCGATGAAGGGGAGGTGGGTAATGCCCACACCAGACTCTCAGACACACTCTTGCCAGCCTTGGACCGCTCTCCTAATTATTAGGTGGTCTGGCTTGTCCAACTGTTTACCAGGACTGTTCTAGGAGAGAAGTTGGCGGGGGGGGAGGATGATGTGCGCTTTAAATTCAAGTGGCTTCTACAATTAGCCCAACTCAGCTACAAAAGAACACAAGTTTTAAATCTTTTCTAAATGACTGTTCTAATAACCAAAATGTCAGCCTGTAACACTTTGGGCAAATGCTGTTGGAGCCTCTGCCCTGAGCAGGATGCTAGGGTGTTATGGGGACAATTAGGGAAGAGCAGGACAGCCCGTCCTGGAGGGGACTCATAACGGCTACAGCTCACATTTTAAAGTGCCTTCCATGGAGGCGCCTTACAGCATTAATCAGTTTCTCCTAGGCTGGGCACAGTGGCTCATGCCTGTAATCCTAGCACTTTGGGAGGCCGAGGCAGAATTTCTTGAGCCCAGAAGTCCAAGTCTGGACAACATAGCCAGACTTTGTCCCGACAAAAAAATTAAAAAATTAGCCAGGCATGGTGGCACGTGCCTGTAGTCCCAGCTACTTGGGAGGCTGAGGCAGGAGGATCTCCTTCACCTAGGAAGCTAAGGCTGCAGTGAGCTGTGATCATGCCACTGCCCTTCAGCCTGGGTAATAAAATGAGACTCCTGTGTCTAACAGGTCTGGGAGAGGCCAGCCATGGGCCCCACCCACTCTTCTAGCTGATTCACAGTCTTGCTTTCAAGCCTTTGCAAGGTTCTTCCTCCCCCTCTGGTCATTCTTCCTCAAATCCTATTTGCTCTCCAAGCCTGGACCCCAGTGGCACCTCCTCCAGGAACCTTTCCTGACCATCCCTTCAGGCTTGACTCTGATCCTCCCAGAACACTGATTATTTACCAGGTAGCATTTTTTGACCAGGTCGAGGTGTTCTCACCTCAGAGTGGAGCAGGGTTGTTCAACCAAGGCCGAGGTACTTTGACATTCTGGGATGGATTGTTCTTTGGTAAGGGGCTGCCCTGTGCATTGCAGGATGTTTGGTATGCACATGCGTACATACAGCTGCCTGTCTTTTTCCTGTAAGAAATTCTGGACAGGGAGTCTTTGGCTGGGAGAAATGATGTGTTTCCTAAACCCATTTCCTGAGGCACCCTGTTGATGTCACCTATGTCACTGTGGGGATTCACACAGGCAAGCAAAGTGGATTTGCTGGAAAGGCTGAAGTCAGATTCTTCTAATGCCTTGTATGGGGAACTGGCAAAGGGGGTGACTTAGAGTCTGACCGCCCCCCAATCAAATCCGGGCTGACACACGAGGAAGGACTACTTCCTTGACCGGCTGCAGCCCATTTTGCTGGATGTTGGGTCCTATTGCTGCAGTCTCTAAGCACCTATGAGCTGGTGGGATTTGAATGATTACATTAGGACAGGCATGGTGGCTCACACCTGCAATTCCAGCACTTTGAGAGGCCAAGGTGGGAAGATTGCTTGAGCCTAGGAATTCAAGACCAGACTAGACAACATACTCGTCTATACAAAAAATTAGCTGGGCATGGTGGCCATACATCTGCATCTTAGCTACTTGGGAGGCTGAGGCAGAAGGATCTCCTGAGCCCAGGAGGTTGAGGCTGTGGTGAGCTGTGATTGTGCCACTGCACTCCAACCTGGGTGACAGAGTGAAACCCCGACTCAAAAAAAAAAAAAAAAAAAAAATTGGAGCCACAGCAGGGCTATGCTTTCCTCTAATGTACCCAATAAGATTTGACAGTGTCAGGGTTCGCTCTCCCACTCTCTTGCCAGCCAGGCTCCTGTATAGTAGGGACTGCTGACAGCTGTGACAGCATGTCCACCCCCCCAGCCCCTCGCTTCTCTGGCTGGTTCTCTCCCTCCAGGTTTGTGTGGAGAAGTGGAATCTCCTCAACTCCTCCCGCCTCCACCTGCCGAGGGCTTCGGCTGTGGCCCTGGAAGTGCAAAGGCTTAATGCTCTGGACCTTGAAAAGAAAATCGGGAAGTCCATTTTGGGGAAGGTATCAGTGATGCCCGTTTTAGAGCCCACTGTGCACTAACCCAGAGTCCCCCAGCTCACGCCTCTCCTCTACTAATCGCTTCCACCTACAGGCTGACTGGGTGGCCCTTGGGTGCAGCTCTGGCTTCCCAGACAGCCGAGCCGACACCATAGTCTGTGTGGCAGGTCCATCTGGCCATGGTGCGCTACCACGAGGGTGGACGCTTCTGCGAGAAGGATGAGGAGTGGGACCGGGAGTCTGCGGTCTTCCATCTGGAGCACGCGGCCGACCTGGGTGAACTGGAGGCCATCGTGGGCCTGGGACTCATGTACGCCCAGTTGCCCCATCACATCCTGGCTGATGTCTCTCTGAAGGTGAGGGTGTGGCAAGATCCAGGGGGTGGAGGTGGGGCTTGGTCATTGACCTGACTCCCATCCTGGAGGTCATTCGTTCACTTGCCTCCCATCCCAGGATTTATGCATCCCATAAAAATATCCTGGGCATTGACTTTGGGGGCAGGCCCTGCAAAGTTAGTTGAAACTGACAGAGTGGATCTCTGTCTTTGGAGAGTGAGTGGAAGGTGACAGTCAACGTTCCTAGGCAATAATGACATAGTGTGATGATGGGAGAAGCAGAAGACACTGGAGGAAACACGAGGACGGGCCCTAAGTAGGGCTTTGAGGAATCAGTTCTTGCTGTATCCCTAGTGACTGGAGCAGCCTGACACTCAGTAGATGATCAGTATATATTTATGAAATGAGCAGCTAGAAGGGTATCTACATTAGACCTAAAGGCCCAATGGAGTGAGGTGGGCAGAGTGGGGCAGGTGAGCAGTTCAGGCAGAGGAAACAGCATGTGATCAGGCCCAGAGATGAGAGACGAGACAGCAGATCAGAGGCCAGGAGGTGCATCAGTATAGCTAGAGTGGGGGGCGCGAGACAGTCAGGAGTTGAGGCAGAAGAGTGGGCCAGATCTGAAGCAGCAGGATGTGGATGTGTTGGGAAATTGTGTATTGGGTCTGCTCTTCCTTCCTTCCCTGGCCTGCGGGCAGAGGGAGGAAAGAATTGAATGAATGGGATCTGGCAAGGCCCAGGGAATGCAGTTTTTCCAGAAGTTGAGTGGCCTGTGGTGGGCATGTTCCTAAAGTATCCGTTCCCATCTCCCTTATCATGTGGACAGGTGTCTGGGTGAGTCTGGGCTGAATATGAACACCAGGCACCTGCCCTCCTCGGTGGGCTTGGCCATGGCATAATGGGTGGGTAGATCTCAGACTGGAAGGGAATGGTAAGATACTCCAAAGCCCTTTATTTATTTAACTTTTTGAATAGGTAATACATTCATATGATTTTTAAAAGTCTAATATAAAAAGGTTTACAGTGAAAAATCTTCCTCCTATATTCTTCCCATCCTCTCATTCTCTAAATAACAAGTAACCATTATTATTAGTTGCTTATATATAATTCTAGAGTGCACTGGTTTCCTAAAGCTTCCTTAGCAAATTGCCAGAAACTCAGTGGCTTATAACAACAGAAATTCATTCTCTCACAGTTCCAGAGGTTAGAAGTCCAAAATCAAGGTATCAGTAGGGCCATGCTTTCCTCTGAAGGCTTGAGGGGAGAATTCTTCCTGTCTCATCCAGCTTCTGGTGGTTACTGGCAATCTTTGACATTCCTTGACTTGGATCACTCCAATCTCTGTCTCTATCAAGATATGGCCTTTTCCCTGTGTGTCTCTGTCTCTGTGTTTCACCTGCTCATATAAAGGAATCAGTCATCTGGGATTTAGAGCCCACCTAAATTCAGTATGACTTCATCTTTTTTTTTTTTTTTTGAGTTGGAGTCTCACTCTGTTGCCCAGACTGGAGTGCAGTAGCATGCTCATGGCCACCGCAGCCTTGACCTGCTGGGCTCCAGCGATCCTTCTGCCTCAGCCTTCCAAGGAGCTGGAATTACAGGCATGTGCTACCATGCCCGGCTGATTTTTTGATTTATTGTAGAGATGAGGTCTCGCTAAGTTGCCCAGGCAGGTCTCAAACCCGCGGGTTCAGGCAATCCACTCACCTCAGCCTCCCAAAGCGCAGGATTACAGGCTGAGCCACCGAGCCCAGCTGACTTCATCTTAACATAACTAATTATATCTGCAAAGACCTTATTTCCAAATCAGATATCGTTCTGAAGTTCTGGGTAGACATGAATATTTGGAGGATATTGTTTAGCTCAGTATACAGTTTCCATATGAAAATATGAAATAGATTCTTATTTTCACTCTTTTTTCCTCCAAAATTAGCAGACTACACACACTTTCCTGGAAACTTGCTTTTCTTTTCTTTTTTTTTATTTTGAGTCAAAGTCACTCTGTCGCCTAGGCTGGAGTGCAGTAGCATGCTCATGGCCACCATAGTCTTGACCTCCTGGGCTCAGCGATCCTTCTGCCCTCAGCCTTCCAAGTAGTTGGAACTACAGGCATGCGCCACCACACCTAGCTAATTTTTCTAGATTTATTGTAGAGATGAGGTCTCACCAAGTTGCCCAGGCTGGTCTTGAACCCCTGGTCTTAGGCAGTCCTCTCACCTCAGCCTCCCAAAGTGCTGGGATTACAGGTATGGGCCACTGTGCCCAGCCTGAATCTTGCTTTTCTCACTTAGCAGTGTGCTGTCCCTTGACATTCTGTGTCAGTAGTATAGAGAAAGCTTCCTAATTCTTTTTGACAGTTGGATTATATGAATGAGACATACTTTATTAAACTTGGGCCCTACTTTTTTTTTTTTTGAGTTGGAGTTTCACTCTGTCACCCAGACTGGAGTGCAGTGGCATGCTCACAGTCACCCCAGCATCAACCTGCTGGGCTCTGGTGATCCTTCCGCCTCAGCCTTCCAGGTAGCTGGAACTACAGGCGCGTGCTACCACACCTGGCCAGTTTTTTATTTATTGTAGAGACGAGGTCTCACCAAGTTGCCCAGACAGTTCTCAAGCCTGCGGGCTCCCAAAGTGCTGGGATTACAGGCTGAGCCACCGAGCCCGGCCTGACTTGTGCCCTATTGATGGACACTTGAGGTTGGTTCCATTCTTTTACTATCACAAAAACTGCTGCAGTGACTAGCCTTGTATACATTAGATTGAACCTCACGAAACTGCCATTTTTGAAGGTTATGAGCGGTAGATATTGGCAGTTTCCTATGGTCTACCATTTTACTTGTGGATAAGGAATCACCCACAGCATTTTTTATTTCCTGTTTTAGATTATGGAGAGCAGGCTTAGTTGAAAAAGATTTTTTTTTACTTTTTTCTCTCTTGTGTCTTTATGATTCTTGAGGGCAGGATATTTAGCTGGTTGTATGCTAGTAAACATTTAACAATTGGCTCTATAGGGTGGGGAGGGAAAATATATATTTATATATGTAAATATATTGTAAGTTTTGCTGATACAAAAAATATGTAGTGGCTTGGTGTGACTTATGCCTGTGGTCCTACCTACTCAGGAGACTGAGGTGGGAGGATCGCCTGAGTCCAGGAGCTTGAGACTGCAGTGAGTTATGATCACACCAGCCTGGGTGACAGACAGAGTGAGACCCTTTTTTTTTTTTTTTTTTTGGTGAGATAGGGTCTTTCTCTGTTGCCCAGACTGATCTTAAACTCGTGGCCTCAAGTGATTCTCTCTTCTGAACCTCCCGAAATGTTGGGATTATAGGCGTGAGTTACCATGCCTGGCCTGAGATGCTGTCTCTTTAAAAAAAAAAATGTAGCATACAGTTTACAAATAACAATAAAAAATACCCTTTATTGCAAATTCCATATAGTCAATTGATTCTCACATAATACTTTCACTGATTTTTGCAAACTGTTGTATCCATAGCAATCTATGGTTGCAATTGGTGGAGAAGTGTAGTTCTGACATAAGTGAGTAAGATGAAAGTGAGATAACAAAGACCTATGTTAGAACTGGAGCTTCACTTGCCTCTGATGTGAGCACCTTTCCTAAATAAGATAGTAGCTTTAAATACTGGAAGCAAGACTGGGCGCGGTGGCTCACACCTGTAATCCCAGCACTGTGGGAGGTGGAGGCAAAAGGATTGCCTGACTCGAGTTCGATACCAGCCTGAGCAACATGGTGAGACCTCATCTCTACAATAAATAAAAAATTAGCTGGGTATGGTGGCACACACTTGTGGTTCCAGCTACTTGGAAGCAGAAGGATTGCCTGAGCCTAGCAGGTTGAGGCTGCGGTGGCCGTGAGTGTGCCACTGCACTCCAGCCTGGATGACAGAGTGAGATTCCGACTCAAAAAAAAAAAAAAATTCCTGGAAGCATATTTGCTTGATTTCCATTGCTAGTCACAATAGAATAGCTACAGGCATGACCCACATGTAAGCTTAATACACAGCATTTGTATGTGTTCCATCCCTTTCTCAAGTTTAGGCAATCAAAAATCAAATAAATTGAACCTTGTTTTGTAGTATTGTCTGCGTTCTATGGGGTAAGTGCTCCTATTGTGGCCAGTTTTTTTTTTTTTTTTTTTTTGAGTCAGAGTCTCACTCTGTTGCCTAGGCTGGAGTGCAGTAGCATGCTCACGACTACCACAGCCTCAACTTGCTGGGTTCAGGTGATCCTTCTGCCTCAGCCTTACAGGTAGCTGAAACCACAGGTGTGCACCACCATGCCCAACTAATTTTACTTTTTTTGTTTGTTGTAGAGATGAGATCTCGTCAAGTTGCCAAGGCTGGTCTTGAATCCTTGGGCTTAGACAATCCTCTTGCCTTCGCCTCCCAAAGTGCTAGGATTACAAGCATGAGCCACCACGCCTGGCTTTTGCAGCCAGTTTCAATACCAGTATGACATCGCTGAACACCAAGTTGGAAGAATGTGTGGTAGCACACCATTATACTGTATTTCCACCATGCAGATTCAGGAGACCAATGGTTCTTCACCAGGGGTTTTGCTTCCTTCCTAGGGGACATTTAGCAACATCTGGAGATGTTTTTGATTGTCACAACTAGTGAGGTGGCACTGGTATTCTACAGAGAGAGGGCAAGAGTTCAGCTACACATACAAACAGCAGGACAGCCCCCCCAAAAGGAAGAATTTATCTGGTCCAAAATGTTCATGGAGCCAAGGTTAAGAAACGCACAATAAGTGACTTCAAAGGCATAAATAATAGTAAATAGTAGTAAAAATAATTAGGAAGTGATGAGTTTTGAGTATGTATTACTTTTTTTAAGTTTTAGAGTTTGGGTACATGTGAGTATTTGCTACATAAATATATTACATGAAGGCAAAGTCTGGGCTTCAAGTTAACCCTCCCTGCCCCGTAGTGGGTGGTTGCGTGCCCTTATCCCCTCTCCCTCCTCCTTTAGCAGTGCCCAGCATCTATTGTTACTGCCTTTGTGCCTGTGTTACCTTTGTTTTTATTTTTTACTTTATTTATTTATTTATTGAGTTGGAGTCTCACTCTGTCGCCCAGACTGGAGTGCAGTGGCCGCTCCCGGCCACCGCAGCCTCGACCTGCTGGGCCCCAGCGATCCTTCCACCTCAGCCTTCCGAGTAGCCGGAATTACAGGCGCACGCTACCATGCCCGGCTAATTTTTTGATTTATTGTAGAGATGAGGTCTCGCCTGCCCAGGCAGGTCTCGAACCCGCGGGCTCAGGCAATCCACTCACCTCAGCCTCCCAAAGGCGTGGGATTACAGGCTGAGCCACCGAGCCCGGCTACCTTTGTTTTTAATATAATTTATCTCACGGTAAGTTTATATGACTTAATTTTTATTAATGGCTGAGTTTTATAACTTGCTAAAATTTTGAACATTTAAGTCTGTGGAGACAAGGTCTTACTCTATCACCCAGGGTGGAGTGCAATGGCATACTCATGACTACCGCAGCCTTGACCTGCTGGGCTCAGGCAATCCTTCTACCTCAGACTTACAAGTAGCTGGAACTACAGGCACACACCACTACACCTGGCTAATGTTTGTATTTTTTGTAGAGACAAGGTCTTGCCAAGTTGCCCAGGCTGGTCTCGAACCCCTGGGCTTAGGCAATCCACTTGCCTCTACCTCCCAAAGTGCTGGCACTGCAGGCGTGAGCCACCATACCTGGCAGTTCTGTTCTTGTGACCATGTATGAGCTAACTTCCACACACTGCTGCATCCAGCCTGTCCCAGCATCCACCACAAAGCCTGGTACAGAGAGGACACTCAGGAGTATTTGAGGCCTGAATAAAGGAGTGATAGGGCCCAAGATGACAGGAGCGGGGTGGAAACTGTGGGGAATCCTGTCTCTCTGATACTCTTTGATAACTCTCCTTGCAATCACAGGCTGTTTACACCAGCTGCTCCCTAGCAACTTTGTAAGGGGATTAAGAAGCAAGTTCAGCTGGGCGTGGTGGCGCACACCTATAATTTCAGCACTTTGGGAGGCTGAGGTGAGAGGATTGCCTGAGCCCATGGGTTCGAGACCAGCCTAGGCAACTTGGCTGAGACCTCATCTCTACAATAAATCAAAAAAATAGCTGGGTGTGGTGGCCACGTGCCTATAGTTTCAGCTACTGGAAGGCTGAGGGTGGAAGGATCGCCTGAGCCCAGCAGGTTGAGGCTGCGGTGGCGATGAATGTGCCACTGCACTCCAGCCTGGATGACAGAGTGAGACTCCAACTCAAAAAAAAGAAAAAAAGAAGCAAGTTCAGCTTTCTTCTCTGTAGGCACCCCAACGACCTTTCTCTAGGGGTACAGACTCTGGCAGGTTCCCCTAGCAGGAGTGTGGTTGCATAGAAAGGTGTGGTTAGGACAAGGCAGGCAGGCAGGAAGTGAGCTGTGTTTGTGCCAGGCTTATGGCATAGCAAAGAATGTGATGCTACATGTCTGAGAGGCCACTATGCACTGTAGAAAGCCCCTTTCCCTCTTCCCTCAATGCTCCCATTGTCTGGGCCTTACTCTGTCGTCTTGCCAAGGCAGGCATTCCTACAGCACATACATTTTGAACATTTCCTACACTCAGCACCATCCTAGGTTCTTATTCACAACCATGAATAAGATAGACAAAATCTGGCCCTCGTGGAGCAAACTTTTCAGATGGAAAAGGATCATTATACAGACAAATAAAATAAAATATTTATTTTATAGTAAATAAAATATTCCTAATAGAATTAAAAGTAGTTAGCCCTTGTTGAGCACTTCCTGTGCCAAACATTGTTGTAAAGTGCTAGGGATAAAATATGACAGGGAATGTGATTAAGAGTGATTGGGTAGGCCTCTTGTATTAGGGCATAGGCTCTGGCTGCAAGGGAGTCTGGGAAATATAGACTTTAACTGGTCAACCATATGCCTGGTAAAAACATGGTGGGGGAGAATGGATGTGGGGGACAACTGGTAGCCTCTGGCACACATCTTGAAAAGGGCCTCACAGGAAAATATGAGAGCTTAGAATTTGTCTCTGAGATAAGAAGCCTGGAGCAGATTTGAGAGAGTAAGGTGACCTGACTTGGGTTTTAAAAGCATCTCTCTGGCTGCTGTACGGTGGATTGTGGGGGAGCCGAATGGAAGCAGGAACCCTCCTACAGTGCTGGTGGGAATGTGCAATGGTGCAGCCATTGAGGAAAACAGGCAGGAAGCTCCTCAAAAGGCTAAATAAACACAGAGTTACATGTGACCCAACAATTCTGCTCGTAGCTATATACCCCAAAGAATAAAAACACATTCACACAAAAACTTGCACATGAATGTTCATAGCAGCATTATTCATAATAGCCCAAAAAGTAGAAACAACCCAAATGTCTATCCATGGATGAATGGATAAATAAAATGTGATATATCCATACAACGATTATTTGATCATAAAAAGAAATGAAGTTCTGATACATGCTACAATGTGGATACACCTTGAAGGCATCATGCTACGTGAAAGATGCCAGTCACAAAAGATATATATACCATGTGATTCTGTGTATATGAAATGTCCAGAATAGGCAATCCATGGAGACAGAAAGTAGACTTGTTGCCTAGGGCAAGATCGGGAGACAAAGGGTGGAAGAGATTGATAGTTAAGGGGGTATGGGATTTCTTTTTGGATTGGATTGGTGAAAGTATTCTGAAATCGACTGTAGTGATGGTTGCACAATTCTGTGAGTATACTGTAAAGTCACTGACATGTATTTCTACAGCAGCCCAGCCCAGAGCTCTCAAGATAATTCAAGAAACACCAAGATAATTCAAGAACAGGAGATCTTGGCAGACCCCACTATGCAAGCCTCATTTGCTTTTCTTTCTCCCTCTTTGGTTTGTATTGACAGGAGACGGATGAGAATAAAACAAAAGGATTTGATTACTTATTGAAGGCTGCTGAAGCTGGTGACAGACAGTCCATGATCCTAGTGGCCCGAGCTTTTGACACCGGTCAGAACCTCAGCCCAGACAGGTACTGCAGCTATTGCTTAGGTGAAGCTGGTGGGAACCTGGGCGCAGGTGAGCGCTTGCCCTCCAGTGTCAGGACAGACCTGGGATCTGGTCTAAGTTCCTGCATTACCAGTCCAGTGATGGTGGGCAAGTTATTTTTACCTGTCTGACTTCAGTTTCTTCATTTTGTGAACTGAGAGTAATCATAGCACCTATATCCTAGGGTTGTTGCATAAGGGTTAGATGGGATGATGCCTGTAACTCTCAAAGTGCCTGGCCTATAAAGTACCTGATACATGGCAGCCAGTTTGTTTATGTAAGGATTTGTCTAAGGGAAAAAAAATCTGAAAGGATACTCAGCATCAGGATCAGAGTGGTTGTCCCTAGATGTTAGGATTATGGGTGATTTTAATTGATTTTTCTACTTTTTTCTTTTTTTTTTTTGAGTCTGGGTCTCTGTGGCCTAGGTTGGATGGAGTACAGTGGCACAATCATGGCTCACTTCCTGAACTCAGGCAGTCTTTCTTCCTCAGCCTCCCGAGTAGCTAAGATTGCAGGGCACCACACCTAGCTAATTTTTTGATTTTTTTGTAGAGACGAGGTTTTACTATGTTGCTCAGTCTGGTCTTCTGGGCTCAAGTGATCCTTCCACCTCTGCCTCCCAAAGTGCGGGGATTAGAGACGTGAGCCATCACACCCAGCCTCGTTTTTATTTGTATTATTTTTCACTTACAAGAGGGAGGGGGAGGTAAGGAGGCAAACTTCAGCGTGAGTCTTCTCCAGTGGCTTTGAGACTTCTGAAAGCTCTGGCTCAGCAGGTGTCAACCCTTTTCATTTATCCTTCAGACTGAGACACCAGGGCTTGTGTCTAATTGAGGGGGTTGAGGGCAAACTAGCTTCATCTGAGCCTTTGGCTTGGCCAGTGGGAGATCCCAGAAGTCCAGGGGCAGAGGTCGGTTAGGGAAATTGAACTCATAATGGGATCCATTGCTCACCCTCTGTTCCCACTGGAAGTCAGCTACTGCCACTCTGTTCTCAGGAGCCTCCTGTGGCTTTCTGGAAGGGAACAGGATAGGCATATCTGTCATCTAGACCTCCAGGTTTGGAGCACCTTGGCACTTCCCTCCTTTTTGGTCTCAGGATCTCATCTCCCTCATGGGTTTTGGAGGAAAGTCAGGACCATGGCTGTATCATATCAAGCTCTCAAGGTTAAATATTTCTGGACACATGATAGCCTGTCTGTATTGCTTATCATGCAGCCCCAAGATTTATTATACACCTACTATGTAACAGGAATGCTGTTTTTCCCCTCGAGTCAGAGTCGCACTTTGTCGCTCACGCTGGAGTGCAGCAGTGTGATCACAGCTCACCTCTACCTCCTGGGCTCAGGCATTCCTTTCACCTCAGCCTCCTGAGTAACTGGGACTAGAGACAGGTGCCACCATGCCCAGCTAATTTTTAAAAAATTTTTTGTTAGAGACAAGGTCTCACTATATTACCCAGGCTGGTCTCAAACTCCTGGTCACAGGCAGTCCTCTCGCTTCTGCCCCCCAAAGTGCTAGGAGTATAGGTGTGAATCACCATGCCCAGCCTGCACCCTTATATTTGGACAGAACTTTCATCATGTGATTTTATTTTATTGAGAACAGGCATTGAATCTCCTATGTGTCCATAGTCTCAGTGACTAACACAGGACCTGGCTCACTGTTTGAATGAATGAAACAGCGCATCTCTTTGAGACAGACAGGGCAGATACTTTTGGCCCCATTTCATGAATGACTAAACTGTAGTTCTGAGAAGTAAAAGGACTTGCCCATGGCCAAATACCTAGTAAGCAGCGAAGCCAGAACAGAGGTGTTTTCTTTTTTTTTTATTTTTTTTTGAGTTGGAGTCTTACCCTGTCACCCAGACTGGAGTGCAGTGGCCGCTCCCGGCCACTGTAATCTCGACCTGCTGGGCTCCGGCGATCCTTCC